TTGTTGATTTTTTTTTTTTTTTAGTAACATTTCTTACTCATTTCCTACCTTCCTCTTCTCTTTTTAGTACCTCTGTTTGGTGAAAGATAGACATTTTGAGTCATCTTGAATTTTCTTGTTTTACCTTCTTAGGCCTTTAGAATTTTTTTTTTTAACTTTTAAATCTAGTGAACATGTTTGTCGATATCAAATGTTGCCCCCTCAGGATTGGCTGGTCGGTGAGCGTCTCTGTAGGGCTAGGGGACTGGCATCTGCTTGTCTTCCTGGGGTGAGTGATGGACCCACCCACTCTGTTCCACCCCTGAGCCTGTGCCTTACTAGGCCATTCTTACAATGCATACACTTATTTTCATGTCTGCAGAGCCCAGTGCACATAGGTTGGAGGGATTTCAGGAAAGTCCTGTCAGATAAATGCTCATCAGGAGACCCATAGAGCGTTTTCCAGAAAGTAACTGTCAGACAAGGGCCCATTGAGATGACCTGTGGTCTGTGAGGAAGCACTGCAGATGGTATGGGACACTGGGGTCCAGTGCATTCCCAGAGCATCTCTCCTCACTTTGTCCTTCGATCCCTGAGTAGATGGGTTGCCATCACACTGCATCTATCTGGAGACTGCAAGCATTTGGACAGGAGGCTTTTCTGTCCTCAACTTTTCTCATACCTTGATGACTATGTGGTGAATGTATAATCACTTGCATGCATTCAGAGTTATATGCACATGAGAGATATTGTTAACCACAGACAAGGGAGCTTTTGTGTCACCCTGTGAGGACCTCCCCCTGCCAGTGGTGTCTCCTGTCAGTGTCTGGCTCTGTGGTCAGAAATCAGCATTGTGGTACCTGCTCTTTGATGCTAATCAGTTGTTCAGCCTCTCTGGGCTTTGATGTTCCATGACAGTGGGCAGCACTTGGAGAAATCCAGAAGGGCATAGAAAATACCTAACAACAGATAAGCCTGGGCTTCTGAGAGGTCTCGGTCCTGCCAGGTACAAATTATTTAATTCCCTCAAGTCTAGGCGTGATAGCTCTTTCCACTGCCCTGTCCCTCCTTGCCAGCTTAGTGGTGCAGTCCTAGTGAGGGAAGCCAGAAGAGGACCCTTTAGTGCCTTAGTCTGTGACTGTTGACAGAACACTAGCCTAATAGTTGGGACATCTGGAGAATGTTACCATAGGTGGAGAGTCCCACCTATATAGGACTGACACTTGGTGCAATCCAGTTAAGACCCAGTAAGCACCCATCAGACCTACTGTTGAGTCTCCATGGATTGCGTTTGGGCCTGAGGCACTCACTCCCTTCTCATCACCTCTCATTGACTGCACAGGGGCTGTTCAGAACTCTGCCGGATCCCCATGGTAGAATACAAGTTGGACAGCGAGGGCACGCCCTGTGAGTACAAGACACCCTTCAGGAGGAATACCACATGGCACCGAGTGCCCACCCCTGCCCTGCAGCCAGTTTCTAGAGCTTCACCTGTGCCGGGCACACCTGACCGCCTGCAGTGCCAGCCTCTGCTCCAGCAGGCCCAGGCTGCCATCCCTCGCAGCACATCCTTCGACAGGAAGCTGCCTGATGGCACCAGGTAATACCCACAGCCTTCCTCAAACACTAAGACTCAGGTCAGAGATCAGAAGAGCAGGGACAGGCTCTGTGCCCAGCCTGAGCACTTCCAGGATGGCCTGTTCTTGAGCCATAGGCAGGCAGGGCAATGGGGAGACCTCAGGCACAGTGGCACTCAGAGTCCAACCTCTCCCTGGTGTCACATGGTAAGATGCTACCTGTCCTCCAGGGACACTGCCTCTAGGTTCTTGCCCTCCATGGCAGCTGACCCCTCAAACCATCATTGGGAAGATACCCTAGAATTATTCTCCATGAACCTCTAGAAAGACTGCATGTTTGAGGTCAAAGCAGACAGCATGAACAGTGAATTCCCACGGTGGTACAAGCAGTGTCCTAAGAGGCACCACATAGTGCTTTGCTTTTCTCTCTCACCTTGAGTGAAATGAGTTGAATCTAAATTAGATAGTGTCTCACTAAATTGCCCAGTCTACACTTGAACTCATTTTGTATCCTGGGCAAGCTTTGGCCTTGTAATCCTCCTGACTCAGCCTCCCAAGTAGCTGAGGTAACAGGCCTGACTTGGTGACTTTTTCAGTGAAAGAATGCACATTTTAAAGTTAAACCCAGGAACATGAGAAACTGGTCAGAGCGTGGGGTTCCTAACTTACATAGGTTGTGTTGAAAGAGCAACATAGTGAAGTTTCCCTATTGTGTTAATTCCAGCCTTTTAAATATCACATGACCTTAGGGCTATAGAGACATGTAAGGTTCATATGGGGCTCTGATCTGTAGACTTGTCTGCATACATTGGGAGCCAACATCTAACTTAACGGATATGCTGTCCCCTGGGCCTCTCTGATCCTCCTCATTTCTCCTCTGGAAGATAATAAGGATACAGACCCCATCATCCATCATCTAAGGATGAATAGCATCTATAGAATCTGGGAAATGCCAAGGACCAGACCCTAGAGAAGTATTTATGAGAATTAATAAACTGTGTGGCCCTCCTCTGCTTATTCATTATCACAGAGAAGGATGCAGGAATCTTTCCACTTAACACTAGTGAAATTATCTAGGCTTCAAGTCCCACCTTACTTGAAGGTCACGGGTTCATGATCCACACACCACTCTAAATGCACACCAGTAGCTGCAGTACAAAGGGGCAGAGGGGCAGCTGCAATGCAAAGTGGCACCTGGAGTCAGGAGTAGGCAGGGCTTCCCTTAATTAAACAGAGTTCCGAGAATTACAGGGAAGACCAGAAAGACTCCAGCAGGCAGAGGGAAGCTTAGCAAGTGTGTCTTCTCCATTGAGTAAGCTTTCACAAATACCTGAAAAATGATAAGTAGATTTGCATTCGGTAACTGTGTGAAAAATCCAATGGTTTTGCCAAATCTCAGCCTTCTTTGCTGATTTTATAGTGAGCCTAGACATGGCTTGCGCTGAGCTCCACATAACATGTGTTAGTGCTGTTCTCAGGATCCTGTGTTCCCTGGCTTCCATTTTCTCTATTTTACCAGAGCCATTGTCTGCGCCTTCAGTCTTCAGACAGCAAATACCCCCCCATCACATCCCCTTTCTGTGATGGCCAGCTGGCTATGAACCACCTGAAATCGTGGGGTGTCACCAATCCTTAGACTATTTATCCGTGGTTGGTTCTGTTCCTCATTGCAATGTGTTCTGCTCTTTGTCATCATCAAAGCAGATTTGCTTATAATAGTTGAGGACCGACAGTGACAGGAAATGTCAGTAGCCCTGCTCTTCTTTGCAGAAGTTCTCCCAGCAATCAGTCATCATCCAGCGACCCAGGACCTGGCGGGAGCGGACCCTGGAGACCACAAGTGGGCTATGATGGGTATGGCTCCTTGCTTCTTTTCTATCTCCCTGGGGTATTCAGAGCATTCCTCATATGTAGGCTACATGCAAGGCTAGTAAGAGTGACAGGTGCTTAGAGTGAGCACTGGGTCTGAGCTAGGAAGCACCATTTCTTTTGTCGGTTTTGGTTAAAACCGAGTCTTTTATGGTAGCCCATTGTCTTACAGCCTCTCCGTTGCTGTGACAAAACACTCTGACCAATACCAATTTGGGGAGGAAAGGGTTTATTTGGCTTACATCTCAGGGGTCACAGTTTATCACTGAGGGCAGAAACCTGGAGCACAGACCGTGGAGGAACGCTGCTTACTGGCTTGCTCCTCTGACCTGAGGTCAGCCTGCTTTCTTATACAATACAGGACCACCTGCCTAGGGGTGGCACTGCCACAGTGGGCTGCCCCACCATCACTCAGCAATCAAGAAAATGTCCAACAGACATGGCCACAGGCCAATCCAATGGAAACATTTCTTCAATTGCGGTTCCTTCAACCAAGGTGTGTCAAGTTGACAACTAAAGCTGTCCGGCATACCCATGCTGGTTTCTTAACTCATAGCAATTCACCTGTATCAGCTTCCCAAGTACTGGGGTGACAGGTGTATGCCACCACACCTGGCTAGGATGCTGCATTTCTGTGGAGTTAGTGCTCACTGTGCATTCTGAACCAGAAGAGACTTCTGAACACGAGTGAATGAGCTCTTTGCAACGGTATGTAAATACTAAATGAAGTCATGTGTTAAACATGGAAAATAGTGTTTTATTTTGTTTTTATATAAATGGAAAAACCTTGTCTGGCTTTTTCTGTAAACCAAGATCTATAACTTGGATTCTTTCCGTAAGAGCCATATTGTAATACAGACATACTTTCTCCAATTAATTTTTTCCCTAAGATTGTCTTTTGGGGGTTTTTAGAAAGCAAAGCCCATTTGGGTAAAGTCTAGACTTAATCATGTTTTCTTTAAAAAACATTTAATACAAATTTGTGCATTAATCAGGAGGAAAACAGAACTGTGTGCCACACCATAGCTGGACAGCCCTGTAGCCTCCTGCATGGGCAGCCCATCCTTATGTGTCACAGCCTGGTAGCACTGCTGCTGGAATGGGGTGTCCTCATTCCCAGGGCAGTGCCTGTTCTGGAGGGGTCAGCCAGGATACTGCATTTCCATTGTCTGAGGAGGGCTGCAGCCCTGCATACCCACCATAGGGGCTGGAAATCACGGCCTCTGTAGGAGCCAACAACCCTGTCTTGCGCCCAGCTCTTAGAGGATCCACCCAGTCCCCTCTGTGCCCCTGTAGGAGCCAGAAGCCCTGTCCTCTGCTAGCAGGTGGTGTGGGGAAGAGATAGCTAGACTCTGCCTTCTTTACAGGTGCCCATCCCCTCTGCTACTCGAGCACCAGGGCCCAGGCTCTGTGGAGTGTGATGGAGCCAGGGAGCGTGAAGACATCATGGAAGGAGGCAGGATCCCAGGTAACACAGGACCTCTGGGGATCCGACCTCCAAGTTTTCCCTGGATTCTAGCTGCTGCTCCCTCACCTCACTCATTGATTTGATGAGTGCCCAGGAGGCTTGACTGGGTGTCCCAGCATGCCGCCTGTGGGTGACTGGTCGATTATGGTGTGACTAGGTGGCTGTGGTTCATGATGGGGTGGATGTGGGTAGCTAAAGTATGACTGTGCGTAGTGATGGCATGGCTGTGGTTGATTTCAGGGTGGCTGTGGTTTGTTGTGGGGTGGCTGTGGTTTGTTGTGGGGTGGCTGTGGTTGTGACACCCATGGAGATAATTTCCTCTATGGTGGTGGTTCTGTTGGCTCTTGGGTTTTGTATCCTTTGGCAAGAACTGAAAGTTCGGAAATCATAGTCCTGCTTATTTGTTCCAAACCATTTGTTCAACTCCTGTTGTTCTTACTCTTGCTAATATTGGAAATTGGGGATTTAACTGTTCTCTCTTCATGTGCCAGAAACCAAATGGCATGGCCCACCTTCCAAAGTCCTGAGCTCCTACAAGGAAAGAGCCCTGCAGAAAGATGGAAGCTGCAAGGACTCCCCCAACAAACTTTCTCATGTAAGTCCTTCGTGTGCTGCAATAATGCCTTTAGCCAGGACTGATATGTTTCAACACTTAGTGAGTGGTATGGCATGCCTGCCCACAGTGCTCAGGAACATAGGACACATCCCAGCATACAATAGGGCACCATATGATGCTGCTACATTTTGGAGCATGAGGCTTATCCCAGCACACAGTGGGGCATAATGTATGCTCGTGATGCTCAAGAACATGGGTTGCATCCTCCCAGCACAGAGCAAGATGACAAGTTTGCTGGCAGTGCTTGGGAACTTGGGGCATGCCCCAGCACACAGTAGGGCAGGTAGCACTTTTGTGTCAGTGATTGAGAGTATGGACATATTCTAGCACAAAGTAGGTGGCATGCCTGGCACAATGATACAGAGCATGCTGTTTACCACACCAGGTCTTAAAAAAGAGTTTTGGGGCTGGAGAGATGGCTCATTAGTTAAGAACACTGGTTGTTCTTACAGAAGACTCGGGTTTGAATCCCAGCACCCACCTGGCAGCTAACAACTGTCTGTAACTCCAGTTCCAGGGGATCTGACAGTCTCTTCTGTCCTCCATGGGCATAGCATGACATGGGTGCACTTACCTACATGCAGGCAATACATGCATACACATAAAA